ATGGAACTTGAAACTTCTTCGTGGTAATAAACAAACGACGGAGAAGTTTATTAAAACAAGGAACAGCGATGATAATTCCAAGGGGGTAGTTACCAGTTTTGACGACTTCTCTCCGTTAATTTAATACGGTGTCCTTTTCTTCAGTTTGATTTACCGCCGGTGAATTAAAGTGAAAGGTTACATACGGATGATATTTAACGATTCCTCGTTGTAATCTCCGTCTGGTTGGCTCTTTTTATATTCTTTCCCCTAGCCGACTCGCCAGTGGCATGCATTCAACGGGATAGACACAAGGGGCCAAAGGAGAAATATAAAGAAAAGCAACCGATGAGAAAGAGGACGCTGAGACGTTCCAGGAGGACTCGGTAATGACTGTCGCTACTTTTCCGCCATGTCGGAAGCGCATTGCGCCATTTCCGCTAGCCCGGAAGTGCGGTAACAAAGCGCTTCCGGCACGCGGTCTCGAGGAGGTTGTTATGACGGGCTGTAGCGTAGGGACACTCGGTGACATTTCAATGAACTTTGTCGCGCAGCCATTTTCTCCGTAAAGTTCATCAGGTTTAACACGTGTTTTCGGGGAGGGTTGACGAACTCCTCGCGCCAAATTTCTGACTCTATCGAGGAATTAGAGGCGGAGTAATGTACCGGACCGTGGTTGCGGAACGCGAGTTGCTACCGCGGTTCGAGTAAATGTTTCAGTTTCTTTCGTGCTACGATTCACCGCGGGAACCGACGAATTTATAATTGCTTCGGTAAAATTCTACCGAATTATTTGCCTTTGTATTACTATGTTAATTTTTGAAGGGTCGTCGAAGGCAAGAGGCCCGCCACTGTTTTTCTTTCGTAGAATTGATGGCAAGTATATACTTGACCCGCGTGCTGCCAGAGAGAATGTTTACGATAGGAGGCAAGCCAGATGATGAACGATTGCTAGTGACTATCGAGTGTCAGGGCTGGTTGCTTAGAAGAAGACAAGAGTTTAAAGTTTTTGGACGGCGAGCACCCGACGTTGCATTGCTTTAAAAATAAGGACATTGTTCGCGAAGGATCTGGCCACGGAGTGGGATAGACGATGGTCTTCTGGTAAAAGGACTGACAACCCTCACGGCACTTATCCTAGAACCTTGGAATTCTGAGAACAGATAGTTAATTTTGCCCATCTCTCGCTTATCATAGTTTATATATGCTATCATTAACCCTTTGACAGTTTACTAAAATTACGAACTATGGTCAAAAAAATTTAGATTTTCCACGTATCTTTTCAATAATTATTAGGAACTTTCTTCCCAAGAGTCCCTCTTGAGTTGAACAGTTAGATATTTGACGCTCTGCCCGAGTCTCACACGGGATCAACTGTCGAAGGGTTAAGATATCGTTCTTATAACCTATTTCTAACAACTAAAAACTCTACTCCATGCCCCGATTAAGCGTTTCACACGAGATATTCGATTAACGCGTTGTAGTTGTTACTTCCATCACGTCACGCGAAACTCAAGCGACAAGTACTCCATAGTGAACAACAATACTCGTAACCGAAGTTTTTCCCCCCTTAAACGTCGAGAGAATGAAAACCAGAGTCTTAAGCAATTTTACGACGAGGACACAGTTGAAAAAAAAGTTTCACGTTTCTTCGACAATTATCCCAACGACTATATCCCGAACTTTCATCAGTCAATTTTTCCCAAACGCCTTATCCTCCACGACCGGCTTTATCAGCGTCATTAAGCAGAAAAGCCCAATTACGAGGGAAGGGCGAGTAGTGGTTGCACATAACTCGAACGAAGCGACTCTTTGAACGTTCCCCAATCTAATTTAATGAAAGAACGTAAACGTACGCTTCCGGATTAAGGTTTCCACAGGCTAAGAGTATCAGCGTCATTAAGCAGAAAAGCCCAATTACGAGGGAAGGGCGAGTAGTGGTTGCACATAACCCGAACGAAGCGACTCTTTGAACGTTCCCCAATCTAATTTAATGAAAGAACGTAAACGTACGCTTCCGGATTAAGGTTTCTACAGGCTAAGAGAGAGAGAGAGAGAGAAAGAGGTTTCGGTTGCCTCTTCGTCCTGACGAGGATTATCGTCGCGTTCGAATATAAGATTCGCCCATCCTCCGGTTTACCGTCCACTTCGGTCGGATACGCGTTTTCAGATCGAAATAAAAGAGGCTCCCTTAAGAATGGCTATACGATGACATCTATTATAGCGTGGAGTTATCGCGGCATGGATCGCGCCAGACGTGCCAGTATCGTATCGTACACGCGGCCCGAACCACGCTCGCTGGCAACTCTCCCAAAACTCGAAACGGAACGCGTGCATTCGTATTACTTTTTCGAACGAGCTCCGCGAACGACCGTAGGAACACGAAGGAAAGGGGCGGGAATAGGGGAGAGCGGAGGAAGAGGGTCGAGGCCAGTACAGCCACCGCCATTTTATGAAAATTGCACCGCCAGTTCCAGCTGCCCCGAGCGTTCAGGCGAAATATGTTACTCCCATCTCGCGATTAATGTTCGTTATTTTATTTCGAATACGCGCGCCGTTGCACGCGGAACGGGCCAGCGCCGCGCCGCCACTCCTCCGGGCTGGCCGCGGAATCTTTTGATGATTATTTGGAATGAGCGGGTTATTAGGTTGCGAAGGTGCTTTCGGGGATGTTTCGATAATGAAAGGGTTGACGCGTGTTTAATTGATTGAGAAGAGAAAGTTTTGAAAATAGGTTTTGAACGGTTTTGAAGATGTCGGTGTGTTTACGATTGAAGGGTTGTTCCATGGCATAACGTTGCAAGTGCCAAATTTTTAGAAACTGAGGTATTTTATATTATTTTAGATTTTCTGCACGAGGAGAAAAAGAATTGGAAAAATAAAAATACTTTAAGAACTACTTTGCAACTAAGTGCCAAATTTTTAGAAACTGAGATATTTTATATTATTTTTATTTTTTTCTCCACAAGGAGAAAATAAAAATATTTTAAAAAGTACTTTGCCAAATTTTTAGAAACAGAAATATTTTATATTTTTTTTCTCCACCAAGAGAAGAATAAATGAAAAACTGAAAATCTTTTAAAAACCACTTTGCCAAATGTATAGATACCGAGATATTTTATATATTTTCATTTTTATTTTTCTATGCACAGGGAGGAAAAGAATTGAAAAAGTAAAAATAATGAATGCTCAAAGTACTCATTTCCACGTGTCATATGTGATGGTTAAGTACAACAGGTATTTTCAGATTTTTCGCTTCACCTGAAGATTTTGTTTTTCGGCACTCGAAAGATTATAGTTTCGAATCCTTCGTTTACAGTACAGGTGCGAAGTACTGTAGTATGAATAGGTGGAGGTATATAAATAGGATAAACTAGCAGTAATTAGTCAGTCTAAAGGAAGCAAGCGCTCAGGCGAAAGAGCCATCGCGTCTTCTATAAATAATTCACATGTGTCGTATTAGCACCCAGCTGACGTAGGAATACCTAATTTCCCTATTAGTATGACGCATGTCTCTCCGTAGCTGTATGACATTTTCTTGCACAACAATAAGTAAAACCTGTTAGCGAATTTCCATATTTCACGAATAAGCTGAAATAATTTATACAAACACCTAAAAGCGATCAAAAATACAAAACTCGATAATAAAACGCCAAAAAGTCAACAATGTTACCTTTAAAAATTCCAATTATCCCGTACTTCTATAAATCGCCAAATTTCGACAAACCACAATAAACGAAGATTAAAAAAAAAAAAAACACTTCCACCCATTCTGAATAAACCATCTCGAAAGAATGGGATGATTTCTCCTGTAACGCGAATTTCCTCTGGCCCGTCCCTGTCGTATAATAGCGCAAATTGGATCGGCCTTTATAGCGGAGCCTTCGCAATAGAAATAACAAAATTTTCATCGAGGCAATCCGGCCGATCGAACGTGCGGCTCGTTAATACCCCGGGATACGTGATTATCGGAGGCGGCGTTGAATCGTGATTTCCCCGTTCGCGTCATAATTTATGCGCTTCCGGCTTTTGACGTCGAAATGAAATAAAATTGGGAGGTGACGTTGCGCGGTCGCGTATTTTCTAACACAAAAGAAGGAGAAGGGGGGAAAAGCGAGAGAGAGAGAGAGAGAGAGGAGGATGGGGGAAAAAAGGGAAAGGAAGAATGGAAAAAAATCTACAAAAATGTCGTCGCGATGCGACGAGCGCGTAGGCGACGAGCTGTCAGAGGATCCCGTTGAAAAGAGCCTGCTCAAAACGCTAGAACGAGTTCGACAGACATCGAGCAAACGCTGATGGGTGAGAAGGGGAGTGGTTGGGCGGCGGAAGGATGGTGGGGTGTCAGTTAGGGGTTAGGGGAAGAGAGATAGAGATAGAGAGGGAAGGAGAGAAAAGGGTACAATTAAAATTAGCGCAATTCAGTCACTCGCCGGTAATTCGCGTGCCTGGCATTTATATTATTAAGCCGCGCAAATTTCTCTCGCCTCTCCTCCTCCCGCCCGTTCTCCTGGGCTCGCGTGAATACACACGCATACAGACGCACGACCCCGTCGACCCTCATTCTATATATATACATGTATATGTACGCGC